TGATCATTTCTTTTCTTGGTATTTTTCGGGTCGATTGGCTTATTTCACTTAGCATAATGCTCTTCAGTTCCATCCATGCTGTTGCAAATGGTAAGAATTCCTTCTGTTCTACAGCAGCATGGTATTCCATTGTGTAGATGTACCACGATTTTCTAATCCATTCATCTGTTGATGGGCACTTAGGCTGTTTCCAAATCTTAGCTATGGTGAATTGTGCTGCTATGAACATAGGGTTGCATATATCCTTTCTGATGGGTGTTTCTGGTTTCTTCGGATATATTCCTAGAAGTGGGATTACTGGGTCAAATGAGAGTTCCATTTTTAACTTTTTGAGGAAACTCCATACTATCTTCCACAGTGGCTGCACCAGTCTGCATTCCCACCAGCAGCATGAGAGTTCCTTTTCCTCCACATCCTCTCCAGCACTTGTCATTTGTTGATTTGTTGATGATAGCCATTCTGACAGGTGTGAGATGGTACCTCATTGTTGTTTTGATTTGCATCTCTCGGATGATTAGTGACTTTGAGCATGTTTTCATATGTCTCTTGGCTTTCTGAATGTCCTCTTTTGAAAAGTGTCTATTTAGGTCCTTTGCCCATTTTTTGATTGGATTGTTTATCTTCCTTTTGTTAAGTTGTATGAGTTCCCTATACATGTTGGAGATTAAACCCTTATCGGTGCTAACATTGGCAAATATGTTCTCCCATGTAGTGCGTCTTCTTGTTGTTTTGTTGATGCTTTCTTTTGCTGTGCAGAAGCTTATTATTTTGATGTAGTCCCATTTATTTTCTCTTTAGTTTTCAATGCCCTAGAAGCTGTATCGGTGAAGAAATTGCTTCGGCATATGTCTGAGATTTTGTTGCCTTTGGATTCCTCTAGTATTTTTATGGTTTCCCATCTTACATTTAAGTCCTTTATCCATTTTGAGTTTATTTTTGTGTATGATGTAAGTTGGTGGTCTAGTTTCATTTTTTTGCATGCATCTGTCCAATTTTCCCAACACCATTTATTGAAGAGACTGTCTTGGCTCCATTGTATGGTCTTGCCTCCTTTGTCAAATATTAATTGAGCATATTGGCTCGGGTCAATTTCTGGGTTCTCTATTCTATTCCATTGATCTATATGTCTGTTCTTGTGCCAGTACCAGGCAGTTTTGAGAACAGTGGCTTTGTAATACAGCTTGATGTCTGGTATTGAGATCCCACCTACTTTGTTTTTCTTTCTCAGGATTGTGGCAGCTGTTCGGGGTCTTTTTTTTATTCCAGATGAATCTTTGGAGAGTTCATTCTAGGTCTGTAAAATATGCCGTTGGTATTTTAATGGGAAGTGCATTGAATTTATAGATTGCTTTGGGCAGTATGGACATTTTAATGATGTCGATTCTACCAACCCAAGAACATGGTATGTTTTTTCATCTGTTTATGTCTTCCTCTATCTCTTTTTTCAATGTCCTGTAGTTTTTTGAGTAGAGGTCTTTTACCTCTTTAGTTAAGTTTATTCCTAGGTATCTTAATTTTTTTGGTGTGATGGTAAATAGGATTACTTTTTTAGTCTTTCTTTCTGTAAGTTCACTATTGGCGTATAGAAATGCCATAGATTTCTTGGTGTTAATTTTGTATCCTGCTACATTGCCAAATTCATGTATTAAGTCTAATAGTTTTTTGATGGAGTCTTTAGGGTTTTTTATGTACAATATCATGTCATCTGCGAATAAAGACAGTTTCACTTCTTTTCCAATTTGGATGCCTTTTATTTCTTCTTCTTGTCTAATCGCAATGGCTAATACTTCCAGGACTATGTCGAACAGGAGTGATGCGAGTGGGCATCCCTGTCTTGTTCCTGTTCACTGTTCCATTTTCTGTCTCTTGAGATAGTTTTCAGCCTTTTTTTAACCTTAATTTCTTCATGAATGAAAGCCAGAAGATGAGAAGAATCCATGTAATAAACCTGATTATTCATTTACAATTTATATCTTTCTTCTGTTGCTTACTTGAAACATTCATAAGAGAATTATATTTATGACAATTCTAGTAATTATATATTGTCCTACATTATTATTAAAGATGTATTTCAGAAATTATATATTCATTCAACAAATAATTTTCGGTTTGGGGATGTTTAGAAATTTTTCCTGTCTTCAGTGTAGTCTACTGGGAATACAGCCATGAAGAAAGCAGAGGAAATGCTGCCTTCAAAGATTACATATTTTAGTTGGGTCAGAGACATAAATAAAAGTAAAATATGTAATATGTCAGATGGTGATAAGTTTTAAGGAGAAAAACCAGAAAAGACAACTTTTTAGCATCTAAAATATTTTTTAAATATTTAAAAAATGTTTTCAATTTATAACAACTATGTGAAGGGAAAAATGCTTTAGTGAAAATTCTATTGAACTCCCAAAATAATGTAGCAGTCAAAATTTTTTCTTTTTCTGGAATACACAGGCAGATTTTTGAGTGTCACTTGGATTTACAGAAAATCTTAGCTATTTACATCATATTTTGCAAAATAAATACATTTATTTATTTCTGCTTGAACATTTTTTATGCATTTCAGAATAAAGGTGTGCTTCTAGATAGGGACCTTTCATAAATTCACGTGGAACCATACTGTAGCCATTTTTAGGCATCTCTTTTCATCAAGAGACCTTTCCTCTTCCAATCTTCTATTTCTCTATCTCATATGGAGCCATCTCCCTTGGACTCAATTTTTGGTCCAGAGACCAGCCACATAGCTTGGGAGCTTGTTAGAAAGGCAGACTCTCAGAACCTGCTGCGTCAGAATTTCGTGTAAGATCTGCAGGCGATCTGCAGGCTCGCTGGACTTTGAGAAGAAGTATGGTAAGCCATTTCTAATTTCAACGTCCCCTTGCTCTTGAGAATGGATTTTATGATTAACATCATATAGGGGTTGGAAGAGGAAATCTGGTAAACAAGGAAATCAAGCCTCTGACCAAACAGTCTTTTCATAGGTCATGTCGACTTAAGAAACATCCAAACCTATAGAGAATTTTTATGAGTTTGAGCCAAACTGACAATTGCCATGATGCAAAATCTCAATAGATTGAGAAAATGCTCTGAAGAATGCCAGTTTTGCAGTTTATTTTATACATTAGAATAAAAGGAGGAGACTTCAGGATGGCACATGAAATCCATTGATGGTAGATTTAGGGGGCAGGAGAAAGCAAACCAGGGAAATCTCTGGGACTGGATAAAAAGGCAAAATAGGGAAACACATGCTTCCTTCACATTGGTGGGTACAGGAAAGTCAGTAATTAACTATAGAGATGGTATTCGGGGAATAAGCTAACAGGGAAGGTTCTGTGTTTGTGTGCTCTCATGCGTGGGTTGTGGCTTGAGGGATCTGGAGAAGAAGATTACTCTGACATGTTATCTTGGATGCAAAAAGATAATAAACAGGCTTACTTGAGGTAAAGATTGACCTTTGTCAAGGAAGCTACAGGCTTAGAATGTGACTACCCACCATGACTTGCTTTCCTTTAGGAATTTTTATGTTCAGACCATCCTATGTGGTTACTAAGGCCCACATGCAGACCCCCCTGAGCTTGTCAGGTTTGGTATGTGGCCCTGTTTTCATTCACAGTCAGTTTATCCCAGGACATGTTCAGCATGTGGCTGATCAAGCGTTTTATCATCTCCAATTCTGGTGATGAAAGGCACACTCTGAAGATCTATGATAGTAAAGGCTTGGTTTCTTGTTATAAAAATGTGTGGCAATTCTAAAGAGAGTATGTTGTTGAAAATGGAGATTCGATACTTAATAGTTTGTCCTGCTATATTTATTATCAATCTAAATATTAAAAAGCTTAATTTATGTTAAAATATGATTTTGGAATTTCCTCTAGAAGCTCCAAGCCTCCCTAAAAGTTCCATGGTCAAATAAATTTGGGAGATCCTGTGTACTATGTATTTCATTAAATCTAACACTTTATTGGTTGTAAGAAGCACAATTTATGCTTCTCTAAAAAGGAAAATCCTGCCAATTTGTGATATGCCATCAATTTTAAGATGCATTCTGATTTCAAATATGTTAAGATGTAAAAATTTCACATGTTAAATCAATGAAAGTTTACACAAAAAGCATGTTAATTTATTAGCATTTTAAAAGTTTTCCCCAAATTCTGTAGTAAAGATATCCCTTTAATTTTATTTAATGCATTATTTTCAAATGTATATAATCATGGGATTCTTTTTTCTAATGGTAACAATCAGAAGGACTGGTGTTACACGTAACTCACTTTAGGAAAAGCTGTTTTAGGAAGCAATTAAAAATAAAGGGTCTAAAAATTCAAAATGTTGTAAACCTGATTTTGGGAATTTAATTTCTGAAATTAAGAAAAAAGTTTCAAGAAAAACTTAGATGGTAAAGAAAAAAAAACTGAGGAATTTGTTTTTACTAACATTTGCCATTTTCTTTTACTAAAGGTGTTGGTATTAGAGAAGTTATGTTAACAAATGGATGCCCTGGAGGTGAATCTAAGTGCATTGTACGGGTGGAAGAATGTCGTGGACCAGTAGACTGTGGCTGTGAGTTGGACTCTGGAGGGAGACTGAGAGGGGAAGAGTTTACTCTGGGGAAATACTTTAACTTCAGATTGTCATGAGTGGAATTGATATACTGAAAGGAAATCATAAGAAAACTTAAAATTCCACTTCTCAGGACAGTTATAGCTCTGAATAACTCTCTGCTATTACTTTACTTTTTTTCAATGTCTAAAATTTAACATATATTTTCTGCAATACACTGTCACCTTATTGTACTCAGGCTCTGTGGTCAAGGCTGTCCTATAGCAAAATACTTTTGACACTTTGGTCATGACCTTTTATCAGTAGATTGGCACACCCTAAATTTTAAGTGATGTTCTATATCAAATTACACAGTGCTGAGATTTCATTATCTCTTATGGGGTCCCTAGCCAGTAAATTGGAAGCCATGAGTAGATCTCAAGTTATGTTAGCTCATTGAGTTGATTGCCCTTACTATTCCTCTTCTCCAGTTTATTCTACTGAAGGAGCAGATAGTTATCGAGTCTCCTACCTGCTTCTTTTGGTGACTTTATCTTTGCATCAATCACAACTCTCTGCTCTTCTACATTCAAACTCTAAGTCTGATAACTTCTAGCATAGAATTTATTTTAAAATTGGAGGTAGATTTTAAAAGTAATATTCTTTATAAAGCAATTTACAGTGCTTTATGGTATTTTTGTATTTAATTTTTCTTTTTTCAGGGGGTAAACCAATATCAGAAAGTCTTGACAGTGTGAAACTGGCCTGTGTTCATACAGCTCCTGAAAATCGTTTCAAATATATTTGGAAAATTCTAAGGCCAGAGCAAGTGAGTAATGAATATAATTTGGTGCTTTGTAGTGAGTGATTAAAATTTGTTTCCCAGTGCTTGATGACTGCCAGAAAACTCTCTTTAAAAGTAGTTTGCAAAAATGAAGTTAAAATCATACAGCTTATCATTATTAGGATTTAATTTTTTTCATAGTTTATAAACATGTTTTAGGATCAGCTATTAACAGAACTTAAAAACATTCGTTTTATACAAATTATTTTATTTTGGAAGCAAGGCTTTCATTGTATATATAGGAATTATATTAATGACAACAGTAGCTAACATTAACTGAGGGCTAATTGTCAGACATACACCAAATGTTAATGTTTCTTTTAACCCACATAACAATCCTATGAGGTAATTCCTAACATTATACCAATTTTACAGATAAGAAACTGAAATGCTGAGAGTAACTTGCTCTGGGTCACACAGGCAGGAAATGGTAGGATTGGAACTTGATGTCTAGATTGCCTGACTATAAAATTCATGTGCATAAGTAATTACTGCCCTAGACTGAGAGATAATGGCTCTTTTTTTGTTACAGGAAATTATTTCCTGATCTTAAGTTTACATGAAAAATGTTGATACTTCTTTTCTTTTAAAAAGCAACCCGTTGTACTTGCAAATGATTCAGCATTCCTAGAAGTAAGCAGGCCAATTCACCCCTTGGATTATGAGTGCGATACCTTCGAGAATAATGAAATAGTGGCAACTCTTAGATTCACAGTCTATACCTCAAATGGTAAGTGCCCAGAATATTTTGGTTTGCTTATCTCACACTTTAGAGAGCATCAAAACCACATGAAGGGCTTCTTGACACACAGATGGCTAGCCTTAGCCACAGAGTTTCCAATTCAGTTGATCTTGGGTGGGGTAGACAAAAGAATTTATAATTCTAACAAGTTCCCAGGTGCTGCTGGCAGACACCATAGTTTGAGAACCACTGGTTCAGATCATTTAGACTTTTCTACAAGGTAGTGCTTCATTTCTTTTTTTCAAAGTACAGTTGGATTTGCCTCACTTTGGGAAACTAGTGTATTCCTGAAATTTCTCCAAAGAACAATCCTGTAACTTGGATTATATTTTTACTTTTACTTCACCACAAAAGTGAAAATGTACACATGGAGTTCTCATGAATGCTTAGAAAAATTTTGTATAATAAAATGAAATTAAGAAGCATTATGTCAAGGCATGTCTTTTAAAAAATTACCCATTTGAAGAAAACATTTTTTGACAAAACAATAATAGTCATCAATATATGTCACAAAAGGCAAATCTTGTCCTGAACATCATTTCACAAGTTAAAAACTGCTTTCCTTGTGAAATGGATCCATGTGCATGTCCTTTTAATTTAGACTATGAAATAATTATCTCCTTTAGTTCAGTTGCTGTTAACCATTTTTATTGTTGTTGTCATCTTTGCTATTGGGAAGTGGGGGTTTTACCTGCAGTACTGGGTTCAGGATCTGAAGGAGGGGCCGATGCACGAATGAAAATTCTAGACAAGAAATATGAATTATGAAGGGGTGGTGGCCAGGTGGTGAAGAGCACACCGACTTCTGACGTGGTCTACTATTTATTTGCTTGAATACACATTTGCCCTTTAGCAATGCATACAGGCGTATCAAAGGTAAAGTTTGGTAAACAGTAAAAGGATTGTCAGGTTAGGGAATTGCCTTGAGCCACCACTCTCTCAACAGACAAGGTGCTTAGCGTCAGCCCTGCTACTGCCCGAGGTCCACTGGCCTTCCCCGTTCCTTGGTGCACTCCCATGACAGTATCATCAAGTGGTGGCTTCCCGCAGGTTTGGTCATGGGATTTTTTTAGAATCCAACTAAGACTCAGGAGGCTTTTACCAGAAAAATGCCCACATGTGCAATCATGCCAAGAGTTACCTGTGATTTTAAAGGGAGTTCACGGATTTCTTGAAGGTATTTCTTAATCCCAAGTAAAGAATTTATGCTGTAGTCTGGAGATACCATGCAACATAGTAACCCTTTATTAAATGAAAACAAGCTAAAATGTTTGGGGATGTTTTTTGAAATCAATTATTTATAAATTTCTTTGATATGTTGTATAATGTCTTTAAAAATTTTTTTTTGTGAAAGCTAATAATCTTGCTCTGGTTTTTATTGAAAGGATAATTTAAAATATATATTTTTTGAATTTCAGAGGAAGAAAGGGAGAGGGAGATAGAAACATCAATGATGAGAGAGAATCAATGGCTGCCTTATGCACGCCCCCTACTGGGGATCAAGCCCAAAACTCAGGCATGTGCTCTGACTGGGAATCGAACCAGCGACCTCTTGGTTCATGGATTGACACTCAACCACTGAGCCACACTGGCTGTGTTAAAAGGGTAATTTTAATAAAGTGCTAAAAAAGGCCAAAGAAGACCAAATATCAACAAAATAAAATTTTTCTCAATGAGTTTTGTTCAGGATATTATAGCTATCAGAGGACATTCTTGGTTTTTGTCCCCTTTCTTGAGATTTTAGGACATCTCAGTAGTTAGCTCTTCCCATGACTAGAAGGTGACATGCATTTGACAGTACATAAGTTAAGGCCTGGAACACAGACCCCATAATGTCAGTCCTTAACTGAGATAGCAGAGCTAACTATGTCTTCTCAGTTTAGGGCTGGTGGGGTAGCTTTGCTGTCTCAGTACACATACTGGTTAATTGATAAAATGTTTCCAGAATACTTTGGATCTATTGGTTTCTTTTAAAATGACAGTTATATACACCACTGTGACAGACGCTTTGGGTTGTTTAGACATCAAACAAATGTATTGGTTATAAATGTCCACAATATAGTACTGGCTTGAAACAAATACATAATTCAAATATTTTAGGGTAAATATTATTTAGTTAATGAAAATGTCCCATCCATTCCCTTATATATCAGATTTTTCACTTCTACAATAGTTGTCCTTCATAATTAGGCATTGTCTTGGCTTGAATTATGTCCCGCTAAAAAGATACTTTCAAGTTATAACTCCCAGAACCTCAGAATGTGCCCATATTTGGAAATAGGGTCATTGCTGATGTAATTAGTTCAGTTAAGATAAGGTCATACATACTGGAGTGGGACTTTAACCCATTATGACGGGTGTCTTTATAAGAAGAGGGAAAATTGGACACAGACAGACAGAGAGAGCGAGACAGAGGAGAATGCCATGTGAAGACACAAAGACACATGAGAAAAGGCAGCCATGAGAAAACAGTCAGAGACTGGAATTATGCTGCCCCAGCCAAGGAACATAAGGGCTTCCAAAGACTGGAAGAAGAAAGGAGGGGTCCTCTCTCAGAATCTCTGGCGGGAACGTGCCCATACCAATACCTTGTATTCAGAATTTTAGCCTCCAGAACTATGAGACCACAAATTTCCTTTGTTTTTAAGTCAACCAGTTTGTGGTACTTTGTTATGGTGGCTCTGGGAAACTAATACAAACATAAGCTTAGTTTTACTAAAAAGCTTAGTTTTAATAAAAAAAATTCAGCCTATTTCTTCATTAGAAAATTTCAAGAGGAAATGCAACCTTTTTAGTTATTAAATTTAAAAGCAATCTAAATGATCCTTGTGGGAAGACCCCTATTGAAATGAGCTAAAATCTTCATACCCTCACTCTTTACCTTCTTGGCTAGTATTGCATGGTCGTAGATAAGTGGAAGGGAATTTTGCATTTCTTTTCAGGTTTTAATCCTACAAGGTGTCTTTTTAAAAATATAGATATTTTATTGATTTTTTTACAGAGAGGAAGGGAGAGGGATAGAAAGTTAGAAACATCGATGAGAGAGAAACATCGATCAGCTGCCTCCTGCACACCCCCTAGTGGGTATGTGCCCGCAACCAAGGTACATGCCCTTGACTGGACTCGAACCTGGGACCGTTGAGTCCACAGGCCAACGCTCTACCCATTGAGCAAAACCTGTTAGGGCTCCTACAAGGTGTCTTTTATTTGAGCTTAAAAAATCCCACAGCTTTTATAAACCTAACTGAAATTATTTTTAAAATTCAACAATGTTGGAATGTAAATACGTAATTTCTCTATCATATTTGGAACTATTTAGTGAGATCACTAAATTGAGTGCATAACTCTAGAACTACTTAGGAAAATGGAACACTATACTCCACGGTGTTTAAAGAATAGAAAGAAAAATTCAGACAAATAGGCTGTTGAGGTTGCTCATATAGGAGATTACTTCGGATAGATTGATACTTACCAAAATTAAAATATTAAAATATATAAAACATAGCTGCAGAAATCATTAACCCCCTTAGACATTGGTATGATTCAGCAGTTGCATCTGGTCCTTTCCACGTAAATCTTTTATGATTCTATGATTTAGGAACCAGAAAGAGCCACAAGAAAGCTATATAATTCACAATGTAATACTTTATGTAAATTGGCTTTTCACCAATTTATAATGCAGCAATGTTATAACACATATGGTAGACTGGCTTTGTCCTTTTAATAGCCTTATGTTCATAAAGATATGGGAGAGAATGCCTGATTTAAAAGTGGTGTGTGGGTATTTGTATAAAAAAAAATGAGCTTCAACCACTGTCTTACAACAGATATAAAAATCAGAGATGTACAATAGTCTTAAAGGTAAAAGTCAAACCCAGAAAGCTTTAAAAAGGGAAACGGAACATCTGCATAATTCAGGCGTAGGCAAGGGTTTCTTGGACATGACTCAGAAAACCAACACCATAAAAGGAAACATTGATCAATTATACTTCACCAAAATTAAAAACTGCAGTTCATTAACAGAAATCATTATAAAAATGAATAGGCAAGCCAAAAATCGGACAGAAAGAAATTTATAAAACGTACAATTAATATGATCAGTTCAAGAAAAGGTCTTGCAGTGTCTTGGAAAACTAAGCATACCTCTACCCTATGACCCAGCAGCTCTACTCTTACGTATTTATCCAAGAGAAATGAAAATGTGTGTTCACAGAATGACTTCTTCAAAAATGTACATAGCAGCTTATTTATAATAGCACCAAACTGGAATAGCCTAGATGGCTATCAATAAGAGAATGAGTAAACAAATTGAGAGATACTACTCATTAATAAAAAAGAAAAAAACTCATTAATAAAAAAGAAAAAAAACTTGGTACATGTGCAAATATGGGTGAATCTCTAAAACATTATATTGATTGAAAAAGTCCTACACAAAAGAATACGTAGTATATGTTTCCATGCCTATGAATTCTGGAACAGGCAGGACTAATGGGTGGTGGAAAAGAGAATCAGGACGGTTGTTGCCTCTGGAAGATAGGGCAGGGATTAGCTGGGAGGGGCTCAAGGGCACTTTCTGGGGTATAGCAATATTCTGTGTATTGCTAAGGGTTTAAATTGCATGTATGTGTTTGTATATGTCAAAAATAAGCAAATGTACATTTAAGATCTTTGTGCAAGTTATTGTTGAAATTTTACCTCAGAAGAAAAAAAATATAAAGAATATAAAAAATATAAACTGTAGTTAATGATATGCCAGTTGAAGAATTTTGCTGGGAAATGTGCAGACATCAGTAAATTATGTTGAAATGCATTAAAAATACAGGATGGGACAGAAGGACGGATAGACGGATAGTAAAATGTTGTTGGCAGTGTCTAGGTGGTAGGAATACATAATGTTCCTGGTCAAAGTCTTTCAACTTTCTGCATGTTGAAAAGAACATTTCAAACATGCAGAGCAAGTTAATTAACTTTCCATCCACTAATTCTTTCTGTCTATTTCTAGAGTTATTTTTCAGATATGAAGTTTCCATTTTCTTTTTCTGTCAGTAGGAATAAACATCAGAGATATGTGTGTTTTTTCTCTAGAATTGCAGATGAAAAGATCCAAAGGACCGGACACTGATGCAGTGCTAGTGTTTGTGCTGACCATAGGAGTTGTGATGTGTATATTTGTGATCTTTGTGCTGATTTTCATAATCATAAACTGGTAGGTGAAGGACTGAAAGTGAGTCTCCCCTTTGATGCATGTCCATCTCTCTGCCCCTCCCTGGTCCCATGAATCCAAAGCTCTGTCCATGATGTCTCTCACCTGTGTCTTCAAACTGCCCAACTCCTGCGACTGTCCTAGTACAGTCTGCCTAATCTCATGATTTGTTTCCCAGTCATGAGAGAGCTTTTAAATGCAGTTTTTACAGTTTTTCATAGTAGTTGCTTTAAAAAGTCTATTGAATGAATATTTGTGCTGTCCAGTTGTAGTTATGACAACCCCCAAAATTGGTTATTGTAACCTACCAATGCAGTTATAGGAGAATATTTCCAATACCTACATGAGTATTATACCCTGTTACATCTGAGGGCTCTACTGTTGCAATGCAACTGATGTACCGCAAACTAAAAATAAATTGTGACTAAGGAGGCACTTCTATATAGACAAAAGCAAAACATAAATCTATTTTTAGTTTTCATTTCACATAAAAGATTTTTTTGTTTTTGTTTTATCTCCCAGGGCGGCAGTAAAGTCTTTCTGGGAGGGAAAAGTCTCAGGGACTGAGATACGTTCTGAGCAGACTTCAGTGAAAGGCAAAGGGTCAGCTACTCTTGAACGATCACCAACAGGAATACGTGGACGTGACGATGATGCCCTGAGCGAGTGGAATGATTAATGTGTAACAAGCCAAAGGAGAGTAGAGCATACCAGATTCATTATTATAAAAATAAAATATATAGTGAAATACTTTAATAATATTGCAAGTGATTTACCACTGTCTGAAGCTAATACAATGTGAGCAGGGGCTGTTTTAATTAGTTCTTCTTTGTGGTAGACTTATAAAAAACTCTTTTTAATTTGTTCTCAACATTTACCATTTCAGGTAATCACTTGGTAACATTTATCTAGAGATACAAACACACAAAATCTTCCCAACACATTTTTTTTATCACTTTGATCACTTCCAAGGTGATTTGAATGTTCTGTCCCAAAAAAGAAAAGTAAAGAAGATGCCTTGCATGTTAGACTTTCTCCCTCTGTGAGCACTGGATTGAACTTGTTAAAGCCAACCATACTACTTTAGAATCTTTGCAAGGCATAAGACATAAAGAGCACTCATGAAATAATAGCAATAATAACAATGTTAACAAACCATGCGTAGTGTCCATATGTGCCAAGCTTTTCTCAAAGCACTTTACATACATCAGGTAATTTAATTATAGTTCTATATAGAAAATACGTAAAGAAGAAGTATGAAGGAACTGGAGGTGGCTGAGTAAATGACGTGAACTTTTTTTTCTTGGAGGATATTTTTTCCATTGATTTTTAGAGAGAGTAGTGGAAGGGAGGGAGGAGAGTGAGAGAAAAAGAGAGAGAAAGAGAGAGAGAGAGAGACCGGCCCATGTGTGAGAGAGAGATCTATGGGTTGCCTCCCACACTCACCCTGACCAGGAATCAAACCTGCAACCCTTAGGTCCGCAGGCCAATGCTCTAACCACTGAACAGCCACACTGGCCAGGGCTAAATGATGTGAATTTAACATGCCCTGTATTGTCACAGAAACAGTGAATTAAGGACTTTTAAATAACTACAAGCATTTTCATTGTGTTGGTATGCAGGAGATAACATCTTAAAACCAAGGTACTATTTCTGTACATCATCATCTACCTTTTTTCCTGTGTCATCATGTGATACAATTATGGACAACTATCAAACAAGATACCAAGGCATTAGATAATTTGACTAGGTAGACTTCATCAGAAATTAATTTTCTAAAGTAATGAAAATAGTACAAAATGCATGTACTTTTTTGTTTAGATGAATTCTATGCCAACTTCATTGACATTATGGCATTTATCTGATGGTAGCATTAACTCTGCACATCTGTGAAGAAGACTGTACATGGGCATTTATACCTCCCTCTAGTAGCCTAGAAATAGGCTATGCTGTGGAATTATCCATGCTTTCTATTACATAGCAACTAGCGGCCCAGTGCATGAAATTTGTGCATGGGTAGAGCACCTAGGCCTGGCTGGTGAACAGAGCTGATCGGGGCCTTCCTTCGGCCGGCTACTGGCTGCTGGCTGGAGCCTGCCTGCTTTCATTTGGCACCACCCCCTGGTGGTCAGTGCACATCATAGCAAGTGGTCGAACTCCCAGTTGGTTGAACTCCCGAGGGGACAATTTGCAGATAAGCCTTTTCTTATATAGAATTGTACTGGGGAGAAGCAATGAAAAATTGGCTGGTAAAAGATTTTATTTGTTGTAGGAATTTACTAAAGACTTAAGGTGAGAAGAAATTGTTTTCATAGAATATTTCCAAAGAATTGTTCATTTGACACTGCTCTCCCCCTCCCGTCCCCCCCCCCCCCCCCCCCCCAGATAAGTGTGAAAAAAAAATCAGCTTTCCATTTCTTATTCCCGATTGAGTATGGTCATGCAACTTTAACAGAGGTGGTTAACAATCCTGAATAGTAACTATTATAAATTCTTATTTTTTTAAACCATTAACAGCAGTGATTTTAATGACCCTAGGAGTTCAGTCAGGTTAAGAGGTTTAGTTGTCAGTGCTGTTCACTGAATATTTCCGGCTGTCTCCTTTCCAGGCACATGGTAGGACAGTACCTCCTCAGCCCCTCATGGTTGGGTGGGGCAATGTGACTAGTTCTAGCCAATGATCCAAGTATGACTTTCAGACTAGAACACTTCACTGTGAAAACCTCCAGAACTCACTGTTTGCAGGCACAGACCCAGGGAACAGCACCAAGACTAGAAATCAACCTTTGTAAACAGCAGGAAAAGACCAAAGACAGAGGTTGGCCTCTCCCGTCTGGAGTTTAATATAGGAAACTTACATAGGAGGTCTGTCTTGGGGGCTGCAAGGCAAAAATGGATCCCTGGGTCACTTACCAAAGAATTCTATGGTGTGTGTGTGTGTGTGTGTGTGTGTGTGTGCTCGTGCAGGTGGGGGAAGGGACGGGGAGAAGTGGAGAGGGGAATAGTTACAGATACTAGTGCGTGAATGCTACCAGGTACAGAAATTACTTTACATGCTCGACCAGGTCAGAACTACAATCTGTTGCAGGACCCAGCACATAGCAGGAGCAGGAGGCAGGAGGCAGGTGAAGGGTGCTAATTTATGTCAGAATGAACATCAAATCATATCCAGACAGTCTCGAAGGGGGATTTGTGGAAAGCAATCTCCATTCTGGCCCGAGTCCAGGAAATGGGACAAACAGCGGTCACATAATGGAACAGCCTCTCCTCCACATTTATCTTCCCTGCTAGGGCACCCAGACATGCTTAGATCCCAGAGTGAGGACCACATGCCACAGGATCTCCAGTCAACCAACAGTGAACACATGGCAGGAGAGAGAAATAAACTTTAAGCCACTGAGGCTTAGAGGTTGTTCAATACAGCAGCCTTCTGAAGACTATCCTGACTGACACATGATGTTTTTCAAAATACAAATTTTCATCATCAGTTCAGTCGAAGACTTCTTCATTGCAGGACTACCCATCAATGTGACTAAGAAGGGGTTAGAGGTGAAATATTTCCCAAACTTACTGGTGGTCTGTGGGACAAAATGAAAGCATGCATGAATGTTAATACTATACCAACTCAGAAATACAATTTTGAGCAAGACTGTCTGATATCTGTCTCCAAGGAGTCAGGTCTCAGTGAGCTAGTCTTCATAATGTCTAGCACACAGCCAATCAGCAATGTATGTGCCTTGACAATAGCAGCACTTTTCCTCTTTGATCTCTGGGTGTTACTTACATCTTGCACTGGTCCCAACTCATCTTGATGGCCTTTGTTAAAAATCATCCTTCTCCCCAGACCAGGGGCTCCTCTCTCATAAGTACTACGACCACACTGCATTATATTAAAATAATCAACAAACCTTATATTGAAGTAGATCGTAGTATGATCCAGGTTCCCATGAAATAACTCCAGGTCTCATGAAGTCCCTCTGTCATTTGCCACTTACAGGCTGTGTGTTGGGGAGATCTCTACCTGCCATGGTCCACGAGGTCTCCATTGCACACCAGTTAAGATTAATGGGGTTAGTCACTTCCCCTCTTCAAGCAAACAAGGCCAGAGGCATTTTCTAGTTCCCATCTAATCCTAAATTCCAGGCTTCTGTTACTTTCCCTGGTCACCAAAATATCCCTAGGGAAAGCCTTGAAGTTTGCATCTGTATCTCCAAAGTAAATGAAGTCAAGCAATTCCATACCAAGAGGAGGTGTTCTGTTTGAACCCCAAGACATTGGTCTCTGCATATGTAGCAGCAGGATTTGGTGAGGTGTTCAAACAATACCTTACCAGGAGAATCTTTCACTTATCCTTTCATTCAACTAACATTCATTAAGCTATTCCTATAGTAGGCACTAGGAATACAGTTAGTGAAAAAAAAGAAAGTAATAAAAGAAAGAGAGGATCTCTTTTCTCTAAGAGGTTGTCTTTTACTCAAGACACAGACATTACAATTAATCACAACTGGGATGACTGTAGTGAAGGAAACCCACAAGTTTCTGTGAAGTTGTAGTAGAGAGAATGACAAAGGATAGTTGAAACATGAATGGGAGTTACGTTGGCTAATGGGAGGAGGATCTAGGCCAAGGAAGAGCAGGTGTGGAGTGTCTGAGTAGGGAAGAAGCATGACACATTCTGAGGGGAGACTGGCTGAAGTGGAGTGTAGAGAAAGGGAGAGAGTGGTGGGAAAGGGGGCTGGGTATGTATGTAGAGCAGGTGGTGTGTGTGTGTGTGTGTGTGTGTGTGTGTGTGTGTGTGTGTAAAATAATATAGCTAAATGACCTGAGAGTACATATCAAGAGAGTCAGTGTTAAAATTAGCACTCCTGATTTCTTTGCTACCCCATATTTGCCCACACCTCCCTGGAGTTCGTTATTGACCTTTTGACAAATAATGACTGCCCACTCTTACCTAGATAGAGTAGTTTATACTTTCATTTGGATTCCTTTGAGTTTTACTGAAATGCAAGATTGCATTAATTAGGTCTTAATCCTTTTTCATTACAGTTC